TTGCTCAGTCCAGTGTGGAATATTTGGTATATGTGGTATCCCAAGAGGGAGTGGCGGCGAACCAAGCCAAAACTGAGGCAATGCAAAAATGGCCACTACCTAGGAACCTAAGAGAGTTGAGGGGATTCCTAGGATTGACTGGGTATTACAGGAAGTTCGTGAAGGGGTATGGTACTATTGCATGGCCTTTGACTGAGCAGCTGAAGAAAGGCAACTTCTCATGAGGTGATGCAGCGACCTAGACCTTCGAGAGGTTGAAGGAAGCCATGACCACTGTTCCGGTTCTAGCCCTTCCAGATTTCAGTCAGGCCTTTGTTGTAGAGACCGATGCGTCAGGATATGGGTTGGAAGCAGTTTTGATGCAGAACCACAGGCCTGTAGCATACTTCAGTCAAGTGCTAACAACCAAGGCAATACTAAAGTCAGTATACGAGAGGGAATTGATGGCGATTGTCTTGGCCATTCAAAAGTGGCGCCCCTACCTTTTGGGTTGACACTTCATTGTTTGGACTGATCAGAGGAGTTTAAAGTACCTCTTGGAGAAAAGGATGGTGACTAAGGAGCATCAGCGGTGGCTATCCAAACTGTTGGGCTACGACTTCGAGATCCAGTACAAGCCTGGTTTGGAAAATAAAGCAGCTGACGACCTATCCAGATGTGTGGGGAAGCTCCAGGAATTAGCTCTGTCTGTACCATTGATGGTCGACTGGGGGACCATCAAGGAAGAGAGCATGCTAGATAAAGAATTGGGGAAGATCAGGGAGGATCTGAGGAAAGACAAGAGTAGTCATCCAGGTTACAGTATTGAGGGGGAGAGATTATTGTATCAAGGAAGGTTCGTGATGCCACGAACTTCCATACATATTCCCCACTTGTTGCAGGAGTTCCATGGCCGTACAATCGGGGGCCATTCAGGAGTACAGAAGACGTACAGGAGGTTAGCAGCTGAGCTCTACTGGAAAGGGATACATAAGGATGTGGAGGAAATGGTGGCAAGGTGTGAGGTGTGTCAGAGAAATAAATGCATGACAATGGCATCAGGAGGGTTGCTGCAACCATTGGCACTTCCAAACAAAGTATGGGAGGAAGTGTCCATGGATTTCATCGACGGCCTACCCCGCACAGAGGGATTCACAGTCATTTTGGTAGTGGTGGGCTGACTCAGCAAGTATGCACATTTCATCCTTCTACGACATCCGTACACCGCGGTATCAGTGGCAACAGCTTTTATCAGAGAAGTTGTTAGATTACACAGGATGCCGGAATCTATTATGTCCGACAGAGACAAAGTGTTCCTTAGTCAGTTTTGAAAGGAACTGTTCAGAATGCAGGGCACTGTTCTCAAGAGAAGTACTGCCTACCATCCTCAGACAGATGGACAGACAAAGGTGGTAAACCGGAGCTTGGAGACATACTTGAGGTGTTTTGCTTCAAAAATACCACGGAAGTGGGCTAAATGGTTACCTTGGGCAGAGTATTGGTATAACATATCGTACCATTCCGTAGCTCAAATGACCCCTTTTAAAGTGCTCTACGGGAGAGACCCCCCACACTTAGTGCATTATGGGAGGGGAAACACACTGATTTCTTCAGTTGAGCAGTACCTAGAGGAAAGGGACCAGGTGCTAGAGGAGTTAAAGTGACATCTGGGTAAGGCACAACAAATCATGAATGAGCGAGCTGATACACACATGAGAGATATACAGTATGAAGTGGGGGAGAATGTGTACTTGAAACTAAGGCCCTACAGGCAAAAATCAGTGGCTAACAGGAGGAATGAGAAATTGGTCCCGAGGTATTTTGGCCCCTATGAGATATTGGGGAAGATTGGAGCAGTGGCATATCGTTTGAAGTTACCCTCCTCCGCTACCATTCACCCGGTGTTTCATGTGTCACAGCTGAGGAGAGCACTTGGAGAGCATGCAGCTAATGTGGAATTGCCAGCATCTCTTACAGAGGATTTGGAGGTAGTCATGGAACCTGTGGAGCTGGAAGGGGTAAGGTTGGATAAAAAGGGAAACAAAGAGGTGTTGATCAAATGGAAGGATCTCCCCGACTACGAGGCCACTTGGGATCCCTATGAGATGGTGAAGCAGCAGTTCCCGTACTTTCACCTTGAGGACAAGGTGAATCTTTGGGAGGGGAGTAATGTTACGCTTGGACCGGTCCCAACTGGACCGGTCCGGTTCTATACCAGGCGTGGCCTGGCTGGGCGGAAGCAGCAGGGGGGGGGGAGCCCCTGTGGGCCCCACTTGGGGTTAAATTCATTTTGAGAGGAAAATTTTTGAATGAGGGGCTGTTTTAGAAAATTTGTATTTTTCCTTTGACTTTAATTAGGAGTTATGGAGAGATTTTGGATCTCATCTTGAATTTGAATGACAATTTGAGATCTAGGGTTTTCTTGGTTTTGGGCTCTTGGCATCGTCGGAGATTGGAGAGTTGTTCTTCCTCTCGGATTGAAGAACGAATGTATCTTTGCTGTTTTCTATTCTTCTACTAGTGGAATACAAGTGTTTGTTTGGTTTTCTATCCGCTTTCTATCCGTTTTCCTCTGGTTTGGTGCTGATTTCTGCTGTAGACAGCAGAAAACCTGTTGTTGGCTCTTCCGTTTGGCATAGGATTGCTTGCGAACTCAAGTATTACCTTAGGTTTACTTGCGGACTCAAGTATTTCCTATCACATTTTTAATACTTTCTAACAAAATCTTTTTAGGTTTACTTCTATCTTCTTAACAGAAGCCAAATCTAATACATCTACTCTTCCAAACGAGTCATCATAAGGCTAATATTTTATATGACCAAACTATCTAAGGCAACTCTCTTTAATATTATCTGCCACTGGAGCTACTCCAACCTTTTCACGTATATACTCATTTTGCATTTTGTCTCGAAGAATGAAGTCACTCATCACCTGAGCATCCTCATCTCTGCAACACTTAATTTTATGATTCTCTTTTAATGGCCAACATGCTGCACCATAAAGCATTGTAAGCATCATCACCATCTTATAGAATTTTCCCTTAAATTTGAGGGGTACTTTTCTATCACACAACAGGAATGATGCATTCCTCCACTTCAATCATCCAATTTGAATTCTACTAATAATATCCCCATCTATTTCATCATCACTTTGAGCAATGGACCCAAGATATCTAAAATATGCACTCTTTTTTTTTTACTTGACCCCTCCCTAGATCTATTACTACTAAAATTATACTCAATGTATTTGATTTTAGATCTACTCAAACGAAAATCTTTAGATTCTAAGATTAACCTCCATAATTCAAGTTTTAATTTAACTCCCTCTTAAGTCTTATCAAGAAGAAGAATATCACCAGCAATAAACATATATCAGGGTACATCCTCTTGCAAATGTTTAGTAAGAACATCCATGACTAGTGCAAAAAGACATGGGCTAAAAGCAGATCCTTGATGAAATACAATTGAAATAAGAAACCTCATGTTTGCACACAAGTAAAAACTCCTACATACATCTATTCAAACACAAGGTGGTTTGACCAATAATTTTTCTATTTCAGTTGGATTACATCAAGGATCAACTTGAACACTGTCATTGCTAGGCCCCAAGCCCTGGATGAAAAAAATAGAGGGTTGCGTTAGGTAGTCAACAACCAACATAAAATTTATCAAACAATCGAGACATGATAAGTGATTCATCCCATATGGATAAATATCTGCCAAGATATACAAGATTAAACAAATCTTATGATCATATAAATCTTTCTTGTCAAAGAAACCTCCACTCATACCAACCAATCTAAAAAATAAGTGATAGGAAAGTGCAAATCGAGAGATGTAGCGCTAAGAAAATAAAATCCATAAAAGAAAACCAAGAAAAACATTGATTTTTATAGTCCCAAAAATAGAAGAATTGCTAACCATTATAGTCTTGCAAAGAAAAGGTAACAATGGAAGGAATGCCAAACAAGTTATAATCTTATGAAGGAGAAGCCACGGATGAAAGTTGCAGACAGGGAAAATGTAATAGCTTGTATTTTGATCAAATACAGGCTATTACAGAAAAAGCCTTCAATCAAACAAATTTACAATTGTGGCAGGGAAAAAGCCTCCAATCAAACAAAGTTACAGTTGCGGGCAAGGAAAAAGCCAAAAAAGGACGACTACTTCAAAAAAGTTGTAGTATCAAGGGTCCCCTATTATAAAATTCTAACGACAAGTCCACCATAGCCCAACAAGAACAGGTCCCCGCATGCAACTTGGCTCTCCTCATGCAAGGAAGAAATTTGTCGGCTTATTCAACCCAATTCTACCAAGACTTCCAGCATGGTTTAGCCCTTTATTCAAGCAATTTGAGTGTTGATGGACTCTGTATGATGCATCAAAACTTGTCAAGTAATCATACAATTCTAAACATATGCAACCACTATTTAAGCTAAATTGGGTAAAATTAAGCATCAATTCATTCCTTTTAAATTGTCTCAAGCTATGTACTTCACATCGAAAGACATACTTGACCTCAAAGATATTTTAAATCCCAACAAAATTATTATTTTTTAAACCTATGATGTAATTAAATGATTTCCAAACTCTTTGAAACCCTTACATAACATAACTAGACCAAAATGATTTTAAAAAACATCAACAAAATCCAATTCGAAAACAAAACATTTAAATTTGTGAGTAAACCCCTAAAAGATTAACAAAATGTCATGAAATACGACCTTAAAGACAAAAACCTTAAGTAAAACAAATTTTAAGTAATCATTAACCATAGCCACAAAACATATTCCAAATCAGCTTGTCAAAACTTAGTGCTTTCTTTTCATATCTTACATCTCCAATTATCCTAAGGCTTTATATATCTGCATCATGTGCACACAAACAACAGTAAAAACAATATTCAAAATTTAAATTAAACTCAATTCAAAAGATAAAATACAAAGGTTTAAATAGTTTTATAATCAAGCATTATAAGATAGCTAATTAGATGTAAAATGGTCAGAACAAACGAGTGACATGCCTGTTGCTTGACAATACTAAGTTTACTGCTGGCATAACGAGGTGCTAGCACACAAATGACAGATGAATGTTTGAAAAACTTTCGAGTTTCTTCATCATGAGTTTCCATAACACCTGCCTGCCACAAAACAAGGTAGCTGTCAAAATTAAGCATGGATAAAGAATCAACATCCAGTTGAAGGATTGCAGAAAGCAAAAAACAATTACGAGGAAAAACTAGTATCAACTTGCATAAAATATTTGAGAAATAAGAAGCTACATCTAATTTCTGAAATTAAATATTCAGTGACCAACAACTTGCCTTCATATTCACCTGAAAAAAGAAAAACGATTTAGCAGACAAGAAGCAGAAGAAAAACTTTGGTCACTTTTATAGGAGAATGGAACATGGGGGGGACATGTCAATCTGGATATAATAGTGAATGTACTCCATCAAGTCAAAATAATATATTAGGATTCAATTATTGCTTCAACATTGATATGAAACTATTCTTCACTCTTATGTGTATCTTAACAATCTCCCCATACACAAATCTTTTACATCGTTCATCCTCCCTCTCTAATGAAATTTTTATAATATCATAAAGTATCATGACACCAGAAGCCCACTCAATCATATAGAGCCTAATTGGAAGACACCCAATCTTGAACCTTGCACCACAATCATACAAACCCCGAAAACCCATGTGAGCCACAAATCACAAGGAATAATTAAACCCAATCGAACCATAGGATTTGGTATCACTTTTTAGGAGAATTGAACACTAGGTTCCCTAATTGAGCCCAATATATTAGTGAATCGATACAAATCAATCCAAACATTTAAGTCAATTCGTAAGTCACAACTACAATATTAAAACCTAAACTGTTGATTTACTTCTGATATGAGAATATTGTAACTCTTATGCGAATATCAATACACTTTATTAAGTTTTAGAGTGCATGCCACATAAGTTTCAAAATACCCATACAGTCACTGGTGCTGAATAGAGAAAATTATGGCCAATGAATTTTGTCTAAACCTCCTATTAAAAAAAAGTAAAATCTAATTAATCAAAGAGGTTTTCAAGAAGACATGCCTTGCAAATGCTGCTTGAAGAAAATGCCTAATATGCAGTCAAGAAGCTTTTCTAGAGCAATAATCAAAATTTTCAAGAAAAACCATTTCGACCATTACCATTTTTTAGAGCTAAAAATAGGCAGAATGTTGAAAAAGAAATGGACTAAGATAAATACATGTAGTTCAAAAATTCCAAACGTGACATAACAAAAGAAAGAGCCAAAGACCCAAAAAGGGGGTCATGACTCGTCAAAGTGGTAAAGAAACGCCAGGCATATCAAGTTCTATTTCTTTTTAAGAAACATAAGATTTTCCGTCGTGCAAGAACATATTCAAAGAACAAAATCATTTGGAATTCATCCAACCAAGTTACCGTCTTGAGAAATAATTTGTCATGGGATGTCTTATCGTCCCAAACGAGCAAGCACACACGAACACCCTCCTGCGACTTGTACTTGAGAAGCTCCCCCAATGTAAGATCCCCGCCGCTCGGCAACGGACGTGTAGGCTCTCTTACCAGCCTCACCTTGCAATAAATCGACCAACCAACAATATAAATCAGATGGTGAGCCTCCAGTATAGCATGGCAAATATCCTCCCAGCATTTTTCATGCTCGAAAACCCTCCCTTCGTCCAATCTGATCTCCGGCAAGTCCCCTTCCCTCACATGCGCATCCTGGTAAAGCGTCACCAACCCCCCTTTTCTGACAGGAAAATAGGTATTCTGCACCCCTTTTCTCTCTGGATCTCCTGCCAGGCCATGTATGTACTCCGAAGTCTCCGACATGGGCGTAAACCTAATCGAGAGCAGCAGAGCACTCTCCGGCTTGGGCGGTTTCCCATTGGATCCAAGGATAGGAAACCACTTGCGGTCAATTTCTCCCGCGACGATGTCGGCAGCAGGAATAGATACGGTGCCGATGAGCTGGGCGCCGAATATATCGTCGTCCTTGACGTTGAATTGGATTTGGTCATCGGAATGGGCGACAGGTATATTGAAGTGCTCATTCCAAACAGGGTTTTCGGAGTTGGAGATGACTCGGGTGCGGGCAAGGGTGGCTCCTGATAGTCTGACGGTGACGTATGGATCGCTGGTGATGATCTTGGGGTGCTTGTGATGAGGGTGATGGGGATGGTGGTGATCGGCACTTCGATGGGGGACGATAGCACCACAAGGGGCGAAGCAGCGTCGGAGGCGCTCGGTTAGCATGTCCATGTTCGGGAGCCGGCGAGCTTCGTGTATCCATAGGTCAAGGTCTCCGTGAAGGAGAACGGTACCCGCGGAGTCGGAGTCGTCCGCCATTAAAGAGGCTCCGGTCTCAGAGGAGGCGACAAGAGAACGGCGAGCGGTAGTTTAAAGAGAGATTTAAGGCAGGGCAGCATTGGTTACTCCACCTCCAGAGAGAGAGAGAGAGAGAGAGTAATAAGACAGAGAGGAGAGATACAGAGACGAGGAGATGTGCCAAGCATGTAGAGAGGGCAAGTGTGCGCGCAACAAGTGATCCGCCGCTGTGGCATGGGTAGAGATTGGGCCACAGTATAGCCTTCTGTGTAGCGGCCAAGGTTTCCGTTTTCATTGTGATAGAAATTGCAAATTTTGAATTTTTTTTAAAAATTGACATGCAATCACTTAATCTTTTATATATGTATTTCTATATTTAATATTTAAATTTCTATTATTTAAATAAAAATTTTAAATTTTCTTTAAAATATCATGCATATAGTTTTAAATACAATTTTGTAAATATTTTAATTTATCATTCAATAAATACATTTATTTATTATTTAATAAATACCTCATTCAACACAATAATATCATGAGTAATTATAACTTAATAATATTATTTTGAAAAAAATTAATGAAAATATTTATAAATAGATATAAAATTATATATTTAAATTTTTAAATCATACTCATGTAATATATTATAATTTATTAAAATTCAATTACAACTCATATTTAATTAAATAAAAATTGGTACAAATACAATCATAATATCTTCATTTTTCTTTTCAATTTCAATGATTTTTTTATTTAAAATTGAAATTTTCTAATTTCCTTATCAGCTCACCTCTTCTATATTTATGAGAGTCCAATAGAGCAATCTTTGTGTTAAACTTCAAATTGTAATAATCAAGACTAGTTCAATGGGAAACTTCCAAAGTCCTTTGATATATAAGCTTTATTTAGGATAGCTTTTGGCCACTTTTTTTTTATTATTTAAAAAAAATTATACTAAAAATTTATTATATAAAACAATAAGAAAAATATTCTAAAAAAAAAATCTAAGACTTCGTTTGAGGTGACTTTTTTACTGCTTTTGGAAATAACTTTCTAGTACTAAATTATTTAGTTTAAGCCATTTTGTACTAAAAATGTGCTTTAGAAAGTAATAAAAAAGTCATCTAAAAAAATCAAAAACTAATTTAGATTAAAGAAGAATTTATATATATAATTAAAAAAAATAAAAAAATTGTATATATATATATATATAATTTGATTAAATGTATTTTCAATTAAGATTAAGATTTCGTTTGGGACGGCTTTTTTATTGCTTTCTAAAACAGAGTTTTAATACAAAAATAAAAAAAATTGCACTAAAACTCCGTTTTAGCAAGCAATAAAAAAGCCGTTCCAAACGAAGCTTGAATGAATTTTCAACTAAGCTGAAATGTTCTTTGTTTTACCTATTTTAGTGAATGATGATAAACTGCAGCTATGAGATGATGATGATGATAATGATGAATCATGGCGTTTTTCTTCTATTTTTTAATGATTTTTTTTAATAATAATAAAAATAATAATAATAAAAGTTCTTATGATAAATATTTAAACAATATATTAAAGGGCTGTAAAGGAAGCAGCAGCTGTAATAGATAAATTTATAATGTTGGTAAAGAGAAATTTTCTTGATGCTTTTCTTTTGCCAGTTTGCAAAGGAATATATACATGGGAATAACTCACTTAAAGAAGCTTTAGCTTCTTATAAGATATCCTTCTATTTTATCTTCTTATAAAATTTGATTGTAGAAGTAGATCTATGATCTTATTTTAATTCTCCAACTGACAAGCTTGAATGATACAAAAGTTAGCTTTTTTATTTTTAATGGAAAAATATCAAAGAAACTTTGTTTAGGTCTATATTTTACAAGTCATAAACTCTATCTTGATAACAATCTAGAGCTTAACAAATCAAAATTCTTTTATTTGTTTTCTTGCTTCACATTTTTTTTTCTCATATAAAATTGAAATGATATTTGGATGATAGGGGGAGAGATGGAATTATCTAGAAGTTAGGTTATTGATGAATGCTGGTTATTAGTTATTGGTTATTGGTCGGGGTTGAATGATTTTTTTATCGGGAGTATTAGAAGGTTGGTATTAGTTGGTGATAGTGTTTAGTGATTCTTAAAGTTTGATATTAGACTTTGATGGCTAACGGGCATTCATTGTTGGTCATCAATTTGTGTTAAGCAATAGTTGAAAATGAACATTATAGGTTGGGCAACATCAACGGCAAAAATATGTTGGGTATTGGATGTTAGATGCAAAAAGCCTCAAGCATTGATCAGACATCTGAAGTAGATTGACAATTAATGCACATCATAATTATTCTTTTCTATTAAAGGGAAGAGTATGCAACCAAGAAGATGCATGTTTAACATTAATTGTTATTGATGAATGTTGAAAGTTGGAAGTAGGACAATGACAAGTAATTGTATTTGCCTCTCTTCTAATCATAGGAGTAAAACGTTGTGATAAGGAAAACAGGCATCAGGCATCGTTGGTTGATGGGCGTAGCATATATGTAGTTAATAAGCATCAAAGGAGAGATAATGAAGGGGTGTTGAAGATTGGGCGGCCGACTTGGTTGTTCTCTTAATAAGAAAGGAGAATGGAAAGATATGAGGCTTCGGTGACTGCAATATAGGTCTTTAATGGTTGATGGGATTAATTTGAACCTTAGTTGTTAGTATGTGCGTCAAATGATGGTAAATGAAGAAACGTCGAAAGGCAATCAATGGTGAGTGGCTTGCTTGGTTGGTTTCCTGATAGATAGTTATGCTAGTCGATCGAAAGGCTTACATTGGGCACCAATGATCGATGGAAGTTGAACATCTTTAAGGAAGGAGTTAGTATTTCTCAAAGAATGATGTCATGAGAATCTTTCATAAATGGTCAAAAATTAATGAATCAGACTTGAATCTTTTATGACTTCTTTGCTTCCCTATAAATTTTGAAAGTAGTTTGGCTACAAGCCTACAACACTGTGAACTCTTCATTATCTGGCTCAAAGAGGCCTACTTCTTCGCCCAAAGAAATATATCATAAAATTCTATCAATGTCGTTTCATAATTCCATTCCAAACAGATTAAAATTTATAATAAAGAAATAAGTTTTTTTTTTAGAGGTCATAAATTAATTTTCAATTATATATTTAAAAATTTAGTGCAGACCAATAATATATGCATCCTATTTTTTGATTGTATCTAAGCTTTTTTATTTCTTACATGCATATAAGATCCTCATTCATGGGCTTCATAAAAGCCTCTCATGTAGTTAACATATGACCTCATGGATTTCTTTCTTTTTTTTTTTCTTTTTTTTTGAGGCAGCACAATCATATATAATCAAATGGGTGTGAAGCACAAATGAATATTAACATATTTGAATAATTGAGCTCTCTTCCTAATTTAGAATTTTGCAGCACTTTTTTCACCTACTGCACTGATTTAAACCCCTGCAAAATCTTTGCAACGATTCAAGAACCGTTACAAATATGTTGCATTAGATATAAGTTTTTTGTTGCGTGGTGAAGAAAATTCATAGCTTGATGCATTTGTGGATAAATCATGCATGGCTTAAGGATCTTATAGGTACTTGATATCTAGTTAATAATAAGCTAAGAATCTCTTAATTCTTTTATTCACTTACTCCACATTTAAATGGTTGGCTTTTACTAATCAAAACTTCATTCTTTGTGTCATTATTGATGCATAGCTATGTGATGAGTAAAATATGGCTTTTAAATAAGATACAATTCTAAGACATATGCTTTCCTAAGCTTAAGGAATGTGATTATTGTCAATAAATTTTTAATAAATAATCTATGAAAATATAGTTCTCATATCAGAGATATTTTGTCATATTAAACATCTAAAATTTGCGCATCAGATAAATTGTAATTGAGCTAAGAATCTACGTGAATAATATTAGGGGTGTCAATTTCGACCCTAACCAGACCCGGGTAGGCAAACGGGTTGAAAACTCGGACCCGGACCCGACCCGTCGGGTTGCCAGGTTGACCCGACCCCGACAGGAGACCCGAGCTGTTGTAGAAAAATCATCTCATAATAATTTTATAATCATCTTTATAAAAAAAAATGTAGTTGTTTCAAAAAATACCTAAATCATACAGACCAATTTAATTTGGATAGCTTAATTAGGGTCTGCTAGGGACGGATGCAACTTTTTATAAAAGTGATTGTATAGCTGTTGTAGAAAAAATAATTTTTTTTTAAGCTGTTAAACAAAGAACTTCTTTACATAAAATTTTCTTGAAAGTACTGAGAAAATAGTAATCAAGCATAATCGTGCATGTTTGTGGTCTGAAAAATAAAGCATTAAAAAATATTTTCCAAACAAACCCATAGTCTGCAATAATCTCTAAATTTGCAAAGGTTTTGAGTAAAATTATTCAAATTAAATTGAAAGGCAGGATTTATTAGACAATTGTGATTGAAAGCCACTATCCCTTTAGAAAGATGAACTGTGGTGGATCCACGCGATTGCATTAATTTAATATTACAATAATACTATAATTATGAATGATTATGATCATACCTAATTAGGTGAGCAATATTGAGTCATTAGAATATTTTAAAAATATATTCATATAGTATTTTGACTTACTATTTCATTAAAATCATGGGCAGAGGGAGGAGGGACATGTGTAGAATTGCAAGAATATGGACAAGACAGGACAAGACAAGAGAGTATTTGGCAAGAAGACAAACTTCACTGCTTGTAAACAGATGTACATGAGTATATATAGAGCACCCTTAGGTGTAGGTACACGTGTAATAACATTATTGGATAGCAAGAATACATTTGAAATAATTAATATTATTGATGTTTTAATATCCCCGCAAACTAATGGATCTTAACAGCTTAAATTGAGGAGTCGCTAATGGTTTTGTTAAAATATCGGCGATCTAGTCGGTCGTGCTGATTGGTAGAAGAATAATATGATTGTTGTTTATGTGATCCCGAATAAAGCGATGATCGATTTCGATATGCTTAGTTCTTGCATGGAACGCAAGGTTGTTCGCCAGTGCAATTACAGAGGTATTGTCACAATATGGGTCTATAGGTGTGTCTTGTGATATGTTGAAATATGTTAACAGACGTTTGAGCCAAATGGTGTCCGCGGTTGCGGCTGCTAGAGCTATGTACTTGGATTCTGTTGAGGATCTTGAGATCGT